ATAACAAAGTTACGTTAAAAAATTTTATGCTCAAGTATTAAATTTTTTTTACCTTCAACGTAAATATCTCTCTTTGATTTGTTCACAATAAGAAATAGAATTTTTGTAAAATTCAACTTGAAATTTAAATATTAATGTTAAAAAATTTTAATGTAACTTTGTTAATAACGTGTTTAAGAATAGATTTATGCAAAAACAATTGAAAAAAGTAATGCAATTCGCTCTAGACATATAAAAACCTTCAACATATTTATTACTATTAAAATATATATAAAAAATAATAAATAACCTATTCATTATTCTGATAACTATCCTGATCACTAATTTCAAAAAAAGTTTCAATAATTAATTTTTATATGATACTACATATAATTTTGATTTACATAGTTGACCGCACACCCCAATGTAACACCCCAATAAACTATCACGTTAAATGATTTACAGTATAAGCACTATCTGTGGCTTTTAAAGATTGTCTATCTGTTGATCTTTTTTTAGGTTTGTCGATTTCGTTCACCAATTTTAAACCCCAAAAAAAAAACGGCCAACGTGTCGAATTATGGTATTGTAAATTTACATAGATCAAACCTTATTTTAAAATCCGTACCATGCTGATTCGGTGTCATATATACTGTATTAGGTTTGGAAATGATCATACATATTATATATATATATGATTATATATATATATAGTATACATATATATATATGATTATATATATATAGTTTTTTAAAATAGGTTGTCATACCTAGAGTTGACCTCTCTATACAACTCAGGGAACATGCGGGTTATAGTATGAAGACTATAAATATGGTGATATGAGTTAATATGGCGTCAATTACATGACTTATCAAAGAGGATTTAATAAGGCTTTAACGAAAGAGGCAATATGCAGCTACTAATGTATGAGGACATTAATAGTTGTCGCTTGGATTAATTGTGTATGAAGACACAATTCTATTTATTAATTGAGACGGAGACTTGACTCTAGGTCTAGTTATACCTAGGTTAATTAAAGAGGATATCTATACATGTTTTGAGATCTAAGATATACAAAACGATAGATATTTCTAACTAATACTAATGTAGGTCAATCTAGTAATCTAATATCAAACCGAATCTACACATGTGAAATAGGACGTAATATAAGTTCACATGTAAGTCTCAGGATCATCAGATCGTATATGAATTTCTTCACATTACGCTCATATTCACAAGGATGATGGACATAGATAGCTATAAAGCAATATGTTATCAGTCGAGAAAATTCTATGTACCAAGATACTAATTGATTGATCGAATTATTGACCAATAACTACTTTAATAATATATGACGCAGCTAGTTAGTACAGGATGTATAAAAAACGAAAAATTGCAACAATATTTTCTCAAAAATTGTCGAGATATTTACGAACTAAACTTTTATTAAATCCGTTGGTAGTTTATTTATTTAATTCATCATAGAATTTATTCACTATTAATAATATTAATAACGCATTGTTAATTTTTTTCATTATTAACTAAAAACTCAGAGGTCCCATTACAAGTTGCAAATTATTTCATTCAAAAAAAAAAAAATAAACTGGAAAAAATGATTGAAATCTTATTAGGAAACATTTATATTCAATCATTTATTATAGGATTAATTTTAGCAGCAGTTTATTTCAAATTATCGAGGCGGGTTAAATTAGTAAGCTATTTTTTTTTCATATTAATTTTTATTCATAATTAAATTAATAATGTAACGGTTACCTTTCTTAGAATGAACCACCTCTTGTTTATTATCGATTTCCAATTATCGGACATACATGGAGTTTTTTAATGGACTGTGAAAAATTAATTTTAGAATCACGAGAAAAGGTCTTTATTTTTTTATTTAAAAAAAAAGAAATACTGTATAAATAAATCTTATTTTAATAATTTATGAGCTTTTAATAATAGTATGGAGAGACATTCTCAATATATGCATTTGGTCAAATAATGACCATAGCTGGGAATGAAGCAACTTACGAAATATTAAAAAACGATCAAGAATTTAGTTTTTTCGAAGCCGTTAAAAAGGTAATTGAACAATCCTTAATGAATACAATAATCCTTCGGATATCCAGATATAATTATCATCATAAATTCTAAATAATTTAATTTAAAAACAGAAAATACCATTACATATCATATTTAATAATGTAGATCATGGGAAAAATATTAAAATAATAAGGGAATATGCTATAGGAAAATTAAGAAATCTTCTGGGCAGGTTACAAAAAGAAGTTATTAAGGCCATAGATCTTTATATTGGTGAATGTATTGGTAAGCCTTTAGGATTTTTACTTAAAATTTCTTATAAGAGACTTAAAATGAATTTTATTTATTATTAGAACCAAAGGTTATTCATGATCCAGACAAAACTTTAGCAAATATTATTGTAATTCCAGTTGCTAATTTTGTTGTGGGTGAAGTATGTATAATTACTGTGTAAAAATTTCTTTTTTTCATTAATTTGATTATTTCTTGTAATAAAAAAAATTAGGAATGTTGCAATTATGAGGATATATTAGAAACTTTTAAAAGTTTAACAAATTCAATTATTAAGCTTATTCATATACCACCAATACTATCTTTTATTCATCCCTGGTTACATCAACAATTTGTCACGTAAAGTTTATTTTATTTCACCTTTACCGATACCTTTTTTGTTAAGAAAAAAAAAAAAAAACTTCGAAATTTATTTATTTTATCATTGACTAACAGAATACCTTTAAGGTTTGGTTGGAATCCGGCTTCAATCCATAAAAGTGTAATTATCAGTCGTATTAAACCAATTATCGAAAAACGTCTTTACGATAAAAAGAGATTAGGAGATGCTTGGGATGCTCCGGTAAACTATTTATAAAACTTATATATATTATTATAAAATATTTAACCACTTTTTAATTTAAAAAATAGTTAGATGGGTTACAATGTTACTTAGATGACCCCGAAATAAATCCTGATAACGATCCAAATAATGTAAATTATAATTTTATTGTTGATGCAATCTGCATTTTTATTTTTGTTGCTATAGGATCTACGATTAAGCATGCTACCCTTGTTTTATATGGTTAGTTATGTTCTGTTTTTAGTACTTTTATTTCTAGTTTACTTATATATTTGAATATTAGATTTGATAAAAAGGAAACAATATTGGCACGAATTATATCAAGAAGCTCTGGAAATTAATAAGCAGTGTAATGGAAAAGAACTTACATATGATGATATTCATAATATGGTGAAGTTAGATGGTTTTGTTAAAGAATCTTTAAGATTAGCAACTAATGATCATATAGTTGGTTTGGCACACTTATGTATTTCTAAATCCTATTATACGTTTGCAAATGGATATCAAATCCCAAATGGTAATTTTTTTGTAATTTTTTTTTTTTTTGATTGTTATTTTCAACTTTCAAAAATCGTAACAATTCTTATACATATTCCTAATTACTTAAAATTATTATAGGTCGTATGGTCCTTTTAAACTATATTGATTCGCATAATGATGAAGAGCTTCAAGGTCAAAATCCCACAGAATTTCATGCATATCGTCATTTAGAGCGTAATTCTCCTGCAACAAAAATTGGACGCAATAGTTTGTTCTTTGGAGGTGGAAAGCATGCATGTCCGGGTAGATTTTTTGCTATTAGCGAGATTAAGATGTTTTTACATAAAATTTTATTAAAATATAATGTTAGAACTACTGAGACCGGGGTGATTGAGTCTAAAGCAAAAAATTTGGGACCTTTTTATAAGCCTATTAAACCTGATATTGTGTTTGAGAATAGGAAGGAAATTATAAATTAAAAATTATGACTTTATTTCATAAAGGATCTAGTACGGAGAGTATCAAAGTAAGCTTTGATGGTATTCTTTTAATACCCCTTTTATTTTTTATTTTTTACTTTATAGTATTGCATATAAATCAATATTTTTATATAAATTACATATATGTTGTAGTTTTTTTTTTAATTTATCAAAGACTGAGTTTTGTTCTATTTAATAAAGAAAAAGGAAAGGATGTTCTTCTATGAGATTCATAACATCCTATCTGAAAATTTAGTAATATTTGCCAGTCTTTCATTACATGTTATATTTACACTTCTCAAAATAAAAGAAATTGACTGATTTATGAAAAACCTGGTATATAATTTTTAAGTTATCTAATCTGGCTTTTTCATTGTTTTATTCTCCTTTCCTTGGCTTGATTGCTTAATAGGACAATTTCTAGGTTATGAACGAGTATTAGAATCACTATAGTCAATTAGAATTCTTGTTATTCAGTTATATATACTGTAAAAATTTGCTATAATTATAAGTTTCTTTTAAATAAAGAAAAAAAATCTTGAGCCTTAACTTGAAAGCGTTGAGTAGAAGCATTATAAAATTTACGAGAAACTTTGTTAACTGTGGTCATGAATAGCTCTAATGCGATGATGGTGATAAGGATGTAGTGAAATGAAGATTTGATAACCTATTCTGTTGTCATAAAGTAGGTTAGACCATGGATTTTTTTTTTTTTTTTCATGTGCTAGTAAACTTGATTTTGTTATATCTGACACTTTTCTGTTTTCGCACATTTTAACACTTGATTATGCACTGGTTTTGTTGTCGATATTTGTCTTTAAATCTTCTCATGTTTTACAACTTCTGGTAAAGTCATAATTCTTTTAGATCATTTGATATGCTATCATTTAATATTTATAATGGTCAAGTTTACCATAAGTCAAGTCTCACTGTAACTAAGTTTCACTAAAAAATAAAAGTTTATTGCAAGTTGAATTTTCACTAATTACTGTGGATAAACTTTATGCAATCAAAATTTTATATTCAAACTTTACCGGATTTAAATCATTCTTGAACAAAGATTAAATTTTGTTGTAAATGTGCACAGATAAAAATTTTCTAAAAGGATATAAGAGTTTTAAGTCAAAAGATGTCAAGTAAAAAAGCGAGGATGGTTATTAGTAGCAGTTTAAAATGGGAAAATTGCAAATATAACAATAAATTTCTAAATGAAACTTATATAAATATTGCTCAATATTTTAATCAAAAAGATTTAGCTTTAAATCTTGAATGTTTAACTGTTTCAAAAATATTAAAAGAAAAAGAAAAATAGTTGGCAATTACTAATACCAGCATACCTGTTTTTCATCATAAAAAAGTTAATTTTTTTTTGTTAGATAAAGCTATACAACTATGGGCTAAGCTAGTTGTAAGCAATAAAATCTTTTTAATGCAAGTGATTATTAAAGAAAAAGTGAGTTTTTTTGCTTGGGCATTAGGCTTACCAGACAACACACTAAAATTTTCCAATAGTTGGATTCATAATTCAAAAAAAGAAATAATCTGCAGAATTATTTGGTATATAGAGAATCCAATAGTATGCTGTTGGAGTTGCTTCTAAAACAAAGAACCAAGTTACATGAAATAATTAAAAAGTATCCTTTAAATGATGTTTTCAATGCAGATAAAATAGTGTAATTTTTTCATATGACACCACATCAAACACTTGCATTGCAACTGTAGTCAGGATGAAAAAAGATTTTCAAGCTAAAATACTATAGTTAGTGATAGAACTTCTGAGTTTTTAACTTAAATAAAAAAATTAATAATTATAATTTTTAATTATTAATAATTTTTATATAATAATTAATAAGTATATAATTACTGTAATTAAAGATAGATTATCAAGTACTTATCAATATAAAGTCTTAGTTAATACATATTCAACTTAGATAATTATTAATATTGATTGTAACAATTAAGAGCCTTGTATTAATAAGTTTATATTGTTTATATTTAATATTAATAACTAGCAAAATTGTTACTAATTAATTATTAATAATTTAAAAGATCCTATTATTAAAAATAACAGATTTTTGCATTTATTTATTTATTGGTATTTTATAATTTTAATATATAATTTATCACTTTTAGAATCATGTATATATTATAGTCATGCTAGCTGCAAATGCAACTAGAACCAAAAGGTTAAAACTAATAGTAATTAGATCATCTATTGAACCTAATACTTTGGTTTACTTAAATTATGATATCTTGCCCATAATGTATTATGCAAATTTAAAGGCTTAGATACAAACTGATATCTTTAGTAAATAGATCTCAAAACTTGATAAAAAGTGCAAAATTTTATTAATAGTTGTTGGTACAACAAGTAATTATGATTCTAATAATAATAATAATCAAAATATATTAAATAAAAAAATATGCAATGAAGAATCAGAAAGTAAAGAATTAGAATTAGAAAGTAAATAATCAGAGAATAAGGGCGTTCTCAAGCACCTACCTCAATGAACTCAATAAAAAATCTGATTGGCTATTTTGAACAAAAAGACCAATCAAATTCGTTATTGAGCCCATTGAGGTGGGTGCTTGAGAACGCCCTAAATCAAAAGATAATAAAGAAGTTTGTACAAGCTTAACTTAATCTATATAGATAGCATAGCCACCCAAGATTAAATACTGATAGTATTAATAATCACAAAGAGCAAAATTATTTCACATATGTAGGTGTGGTCATAGTTATAATTATAGTTGTGGTTGCAGTTATAGATGCCATAAAAATAGGTTTCAAAAAAAGTCTATTTTATATTCATTAGAGCAAATTAAAATTTTTTATAAGAAAGAGCAAATCTAATTTATATAATTATATTCCTATAATTTTATCTATTCAAAAAAAGTATCAAAAAATTTTGTCTTTTAAGTAAAAGTAAGTCAAACCAATTTTGTTTTTAACTTTTAATTTCAAGTTTTAAAGCCAAAATAATTTCATCCACATCTATAGTTGCAGTTATAGTTATAGTTGTGGGCAAAAGAGCAAGGGTTGCTATAGTACTGGTTATATTTATAGAATTTTTGATTCTTCTGATATTTGTTTAACAAATATTTGAATTAAAATTTTATTTCTCAAAATAACTCTTATCTCCAACTAATAGATGCTAAGATAATCAATAGCTTTAAAGCAAAGTATAAAAAGAAGTATATATAGTATATATTAAATCAGTTTTGAAAAAGATGAAAATTTTAGAAAATAAAAAAATATTATTTGTTTGCTATTTATATTATTTATTTTTCTGAAAGGCTATTTATTTAGCATCATTAAAGATAGTATTTGAAGATAAATATTATTTGTAATGTCAGTTAAATAGTCTATCAGAAAATGATTAACAGAAAAATTAAATACTATATACTGCAGTATTGTATTAAAGTTTATATATATATATATATAATATATCACATAAATATTATATAAATAGTAGGGTGTAGCAACTTAGTGAAGTGGTGGAGTTGTTGTACCTCCAGACAGCAGGTCTAGAGTTCGAATCCCACAGATGATGATTTTGAAAATACTAGATCTGTATCAATTAATGTTAAGATTATCAGTTGGATTCAGATATCTGTAATCTTGATCACACTATCTTGAATAGGAGCTTTGGCGCAATAAATCCAGGAAATCAGAATTACAAAAACCCATTTGGCAAGTCCTGATTAGAAAGGGAGTATGATCTTTGATGGTGCTACTGGAAGACCAAATTGAAATTAGAAACTGAGACCAGAGAACCAAGTGACTAGGTCCTTAAGTGGGGAACACACTAGCTGAACACTGTGTTACCAACCAGAGGAAAAGGACATATGCTCTAGAAGCATGTATCAAGGGAAGGGAAACTGTAAGGCACTTAAAGCCTGGGCAGACTGACCCTTTCAGGTTGCCGGCTGGAAGTAAGAGAGAGACAGGTAAAGAATCCAAAGAAGAAGAAAAGTCCAAATGTGCATATTGGAGTCATGTGAACCTTATAAGAGCAAGGAGTACATAAAGGTCAACTAATTAGGAAGGTTGTAGCTTAAGTAGCTATGGAATGATAGCACCCTAAAAGATGGCATGAGATATGAACACAGTGTAGCAGCACAGCAGGTACTAGTTAGGAAGAAGTTACTGAATATGTAGGTAAATACATGTGTGAGACATGGACCATTCTGTTAGATTTACCTCATAGATAGATTAGCTGTAATAGTTAGTAAGTCCTAAGGTGAGTGCGAAATCCAATTGGGTAGATGCAAAACCTAGTGTATATAGTGAGTAATATCCAGAGTTAGGTGTAGCAAATGGTAGTTATAACCAGAGAGTTTAAATAGGTAACTTCATAGTTGGGGTACAGATATAGCAGATAGTGTAGAACCTTCGGGTGGACTACTTAAATTAGACATAAAAAGTGCATGTGTAGCTTGATGTACTTTTATTGTAATTATATAAATATATATTGCATTTAATAAAAAGTCCTCTGACCAAAAAAATCACCTTAATACCAAAAAAATATATATATATAAATATTATATAAATAGTATATATATATATAGTTTAAAAATTATTTATATTTATATATTTGTTATAGAAATAATATAATGTTCACTATAGATAATTATTATTTGTGATTTACAATACATAAAAAAAAAATAATTTTTATAAAAATAAAAAAAAATTAACCTCTTTAATATTAGAGTTAGGGTAAGAGTTAGAGGTTAGAGTTAAAATATAGCTTTTTATATAGTAAAATTTAGCAAAAAATTTTTTTATTAGAGCTTGAAAAGTGGTTTATAGACAAAATTTTAAGATATAAGGTTATTTTAAAAAACTTCTTTGTTTTTGTTACACAAAATTGATTTATATGTTACATCTGATCCTAGATTTTAATTGGCAAATTAATTACAGATGATAATCACCTGTGGTATATATTTTAATTCTCATTTGTTTTTTTTTTCAGTATTAAGATGATCTCTTTGGCCATGGAGACTCTTTATTAGTAATCATTTACTATTACAGTTATAATGAAGATACAACTAGCCATATGTGTACCTTTTGAGTGCCTATTTAAGTAGTCTGTCTGCAGGTTCTATACTAGATGCTATACTTATAACCCAACTAGGAAGTTACTCATTTAAACCTTCTGATCCTACCATATTTAATATATCATACTAACCCAGAAACTACTATCTAGCTCATTCAACTAGATTACGCACTCTGCCTTAAGACTTCTATAACTTATCCTAGGTTTGCACTGACTAATTACTGGCTTGCATTTCTTCATTGAGCAGATGCATAGCTATTCTTAAAGTAAACTTACCAGAGCCTTCTGTATTCTATATCTGGCTAATCTATTTATCACAGTTGCTGTAGCTCACACTCACAGTTTGGTATAACCTAATTGAACCACTATGCCCTTGTAAGGTTCACTTCAACCCCAATACTCATATTTAGGTTTTTCTTTTTTCATTCTTGCCTTATTGGTCTCTCTCTTACTTTCAACCTGTGACCCAAAAGATTTGACCCTGGCTAGACTCTAGGTGCCTTGTGCCTTGTCTCATCATAGCACATAATTTTATAGCATATGTTCTTTTTCTTTAATTGGGTCTGCCCAGTCTCTAAAGATTGCCCAGCTCTTGTCATTAGGTAGAACCTAACTCCCAAATCCTAGTCATAGTGGATGACCACCCTGGTTTCCCATGCCGGCTAACTAGATTGGTGTATTAGCTTTCTCTCTAATTGGTGGTTGGATTGGTAAATCTACCACTTAAGAATCTTGTTGTTTAGTTCTCTAATTTTAGCTATCACTTTCAAATTCAATGTTCCTGTAGCATTGTCAAAAGTATTCACTACCTCCTTATTCAGATCTTCCCAAACAGGTTTCAATCATCCTGGTTTCTTGGCATTTCTGTATTGAAGCTTCTATAACAAGATGGTACAAACAAGATTACAGATTGTAGATTTAACTGATTGATGGATAATCATTACTTAATGCAAATCTATTTTTCAAAAAACGTTGTTTATAGGATTTGAACTCTAGACCTGCCGATTGGTGGGGTGATGATTTGACCACTTCACTAAGCTGCCACACCCTAATTTTTCTTTGTTATACTACTGTACTTTAGCTATTTATATTGTCTTTCTTATAAAATTTATAGAACCCTATGTATAATAAATATTTAATTTATATAAATAAAGCCAAGTTTGTTATATTTTTAATTATATTGTAAAATAAAAATTTAAAGTATATATAGTACAAGAAATATAAAAACTACAATTATTTTATATATTTAAATATTCTTTAAGCTTTGTTAAAATTGATAATTTAAAAATTTTTGGATTATGCTTATATTTAGATTATACCAAACAAAAATATTTTTTTTATTTATTTTATTTTTTTTTTTATTGGCTCTTTGATAGTCTTACAAGATTCAAATAATAAGAATCTTTATTTAATTTATTATATACAAAATAAAGTGAGGCCTCTACAAATTGAAGCTTGATATTATCTAGCTATAATAAACATACCCAGATGTGACCTATTATACTAACTCATTAAATAAGTTAAAAAACTTTGTTAGCTCTGTCAAGAACTAACTTAATTCTGCTTATCTAAACTACTAGATACAATACTATATTCATATTTCACAAAATAAAAAAG